ACACTAACCTCACTCCTTTGTAACAACTAATGCAAAAATCTAATTAATTCGGAAAATCTTTTCAGGACCCCACCTCGATGTTTCGKGACCCCACTTTGGGTCCCGACCCCAACTTTGGGAAACACTGGTCTAGATGCTTAGGCTGCATCCCAAATCTGTGAAGTCTGACTGATGTCAATTCCGAGTTAAAACTGTTCCAGGTTCCAGCTTGACAGAACGTTGGAAAAAAAGCATTTTCCTTTTCTTGCTCTAATGGAATAATGCAACAATAACAGAACAAYATTGCTCTGCACAACGTTTTAAGTGCACAGTGTCAAAACATTGCCTGATAAAGTATTACAAGYACGACTGACTTAATGTAAAGTGAACACAACTGCTAAAAAAATCTTAAGCGTTTCACAGCTATGTTGAAATGATGACGTCACGTGCTCTGGTATGGTCGTGTTGCACCAACTTCCCAACTCGAAATCCTGACATCGGGGGGATGTTCCAGTCGGTATTTCGGACTTGGAAGTCCAAAATACCGACAACTAAGTACAATTGGAACACAGCATCACTTCCTTTTCTTTGAAAGTGTTTCAGTTTCAGCTGAACTCTGCYGACATCCAGCAACATTACATTTCGCTATCACAACRTAAAATACCAAAAACAATCATTTATAAACACRTATTGTATATACAAGTCAATAGAACTACAGGTGTACAGGACCAAGGAGGTTCTAAATATTTAAGTCTATGTGCAGGACKAAGATCTTGAATTGTAACTATGAATGTATTTGGGTCATTCTCGTACAATATCTGCACTCTAATTCAGTATTTTTAAATTGGTTTTAAAAGACATTTGAAGGGGGAGCCAAGCATATTGTATGATTTATTAACCCCAGGAAAACTGGTATACTGTACTATGGACTCCATGTACTTGGGCACATAGAGCTTTAGTATCTATAAAAAGGTAAATTAGGTATTTTTGATTTATTTTTTACTGCCAGTCAGTTTAGGTTTCTCTCACCAAGTAARCCTGTGTGGGTTTGACCAACAGATGTGACAAAAGTACAACTTTAATGTCCTGTAAGGACAGACATCTGTGTTTCTGGGTGGAGTCTGGCCTAGTTAGTAACTGATTGGAAACACCTGGAGTGAAGGCAGCCTGTGTAGGTTGCTGCTTGTGTTTCCTGCAGTGAAGATGGCTGAAAATGTAAAGTTAAAACACTTTCGTGCATGATTAGCTGATACTTTCAATCCAGTGGTTCTGCTCGCACACTGCCAGTTTGTGGCCATCATGGTCCTTTATCCCAAACACGCACCAGATTGAGTCCAGTCCAATCCAAGCTCAACTGAAGCAGATGTCATCTGTCTGGAAGAGCTAAGTGAAGTTTCCTTATGTTTATTTGGTCTTTGTATTCTTTTTAGTATGTTTTAAAAAGTAGTTCAGTTGTTGGTGCTATATTAGTCAATCATTCTTTTAGCTTGCGGTGTTCTCTTGGTTTATAGTACTTGAGTTGTTTGGAGAGCAGTGTATCATGTGTGTTGTTGCTGAGCTGTTGGACCGTCATTTTAAATGTGTTCTCAGACATATTTATGAATAAGATTGTTTTTGTGCCAACATTTAGTCTGTGTAAATGTGCTGGATTCAAAAGGTTGAGTATTAAAGGGATCCCCGATTAGTTGTAACTTTAGACTTTATATGACAAACATATACTTTAACTGTAAAATAAAGACTAAAAATATTGTAGGATGTTCAGTTTTTATAATTTTTAAATTAAAAGTTTAAAAATATATTACACGGAGAGGGCCATTTTATTTACATGCAAAGCATTCTGGGTAAATGATGACATCAACTAGGTCATCGGTGCGAGGCTGCTAGCGAGCTATATCCACCCTGAAGGTTAATCTTG